TTTTTTTTGAATAGAGATTTTCTTCGCTTGTTTTTCAGGATTCGACAAACATTTCATTGATTATCTGAGCAGGCCGGAAATCGATGGCTGGGAAGTAAGAAAGGGTGCGTAACGGTATTTTTGGCTTGTTTAGCTTTCCGGTTATTTCTTAAATTCGCAAATTTGTTTTTACTGCTGTCACAGCGATCATTTTGAGTTAGATCTTTTTGCGGTACAGAACGTTGATTCTGTTCAGATGTCACTGAACTATTATATATTATCAACTATTATCAGGTGCAAAGAACGAAATTTGCACTTCTTAACAATTATGGCTTATAGATTAGATTCCGGTTCAAGATTTTAATTATAGTTATAATTTGATACGAGAAGTATCTGTTCACGAACTTTGATTCGATCTCAGTGTCGAGCATGGTGATAAGGAATACTCTACGCAACCCTCTCAATTTTGAATCGACCTTTCATTCATTGCACCGTAGCTTTAAACATTTCACGATTAAAAAAATTTTTTATGAGTTCCTTATTTGAGAAATGCTCCCTTTTCGATGTGAAGCTTATAATAATGTGTGAACGATACCAGTGCCGTCTATATTATCCTCGATTTTTCAGCTCTTACTGAACTCCATGACTATGATGTTATTCCTGACCCTAAGGTCGTCGAAGCTGCTCTACGTGCTTGTCGGCGAGTGAACGATCTTGCCCTATGTGTAAGATTCCTGGAGGCCATCAAGATCAAATGTGGTTCAAAAAAGAATAGAGATGTTATATACCCTTACATCATTAACGAGGTCCGTCTCTTTACACATCTTTATACGGTTCTACATGGAGAGAACTTTGAAAAGAAAGCCTCTACTTACAATTCTATATCACTGAATGCGATTTGTTTGAAGGTGAAGCCAGTACTCGCTGAGCTCGGAATTCCAACTCCCGAAGAGCTCGGCTTTGATAAGCCAGAATTCTTCATTCCTCAGCCTGACTATTGGTGGGAGAAGAAATGGTTAGTTTCTCCACGTCAAAGTACTTTCTACGTCTATCTTTTTCTCCACCCTACGGTGTATTTATACCCTATTTTAAGGTACGCCGAGTACGGATACGACAAGAAGCCTGCCTTCCAGTATTGAGGCAGTGTAGATTTCAGTGTAGTGCGAGTGATTCAGAAGTTTGAGTTTTTCGGTTTGTCCTATTAAGGGAATTGTTCCAGTTTGTTGTGAATGAATCAATACAAATTCATTGATTATCTGGAAGGTTAAGCTGTACTAAGGACTTGATAGGGCAGGGAAACAGCTCATGCTTACTCCTTTCATCTCTACCTTCACCTCATCTTTATGTTAATTAGAATACAGCCATATGTGAACCATAGAACCTTTGTGGAATAAATCCTCCGCAATGATCAACATTTCTATCGACATTTCCACGTCGAGACGTAAGATTGATCGCTCGTCTAGGCTTTTTAAATTCGCAATACCGCACAATTTAAGCCGTTCATTCATCAAAAACTCGACAGTAAATCATCAATATTTTTCTTTTTGTTGAAATATTGTCGCGATCTTTGAATATGGTAATACTAAGTGATTGTTCCGTTTTGGTTAATGTTTAATAGATATCTTCTTCTGGTTCAGCTGGTTCGGCATCGTCAAACGTTGGTTCGTCGTTCGTTTCGAATTGAACACATTTTTCATCTTTGAATTTTATCTGTAAAAATGCCTCTAGTAGCTCAGATAAATGTAGAGGCGTAGGAAACCGAACCGAGAATTCGATTCTAACAAGGGGAGTCTCTGCATGAGTTTCTGGAGACCTATGTGGATTGCATTTTTCCTGCATCAGAAAGAAAGTGGTCAATGAAAAGGTGAAGTGATTAGAACGCCTTTACGCCCTAACCTATAGAACCTTCTGTGGTAAATAAGTGTTAAGAATGTGAGATAGCTTAAATTTCCTANAGTGCAACTCGCCTTTTTCACTGCAGATTTAGGCTGTGGCTTTTCCGGTGGTTCTCGATCTGATGGTAATTCCGCTTCGCGGAGTTGTTCAATGAATTGTTTTTTCATCTTCTGAAACGAATTAATATTTCGGATAATCATTTCTGTTTATTCAGAGAATAGAAGTGACAAATGTCATATATGTGACTGTAAGCCCCTCCCCCTCGACCACCAACCATAAGGCCGCCCGAATTTTTGCAAATTCTGACCATATACATATTGTCGATGTTTCCTCGCTTCATTACCAGGATCGGGTCAACAACCATGTGCTTTTCGCCTGCAAGCTTTTCGTATTGGTTCGGCTGCCGTTGCACGACAGATGGCTGAAATGGATAGTATTTTAGTATTGAATGACTACACTTCAGTCTCTGAAGTGAATATACTCGGAATCAGATCCGAATCAGGAACATCGAGGATTGAGTGCTTACCCTAATTTTGAGTGATTCCATGCCCTTCCATCAATCGAACAAATGGTCCCCATTCATACGCTTTCAATCGTTCCACCTGCTCATTTCATTCGTACCACCTCTCTTTGATACTTCGCTACCTTCCTACTAATTTAAGTCACCATCTAGATGCACCGTTTCCACCATTCCATCAGAGATCAGATCATTCACTAAAGTTCATAGAAAAGGGCCGAATCTAAAGAGCCAGGAGCCAGTTGTCACAATCCGTTCAACCTTTTCTCCGTGTACGTCAACAAATCCCTCGGGTTCCTTTTTTTCTACACCCACCTCCTTGCACCTATACATGATGAAGGGTGGCTGTTGTTCCTGTTCAGGTAAGTGCAAAGGAGAAAGGCTAATGGGAACAACAGGAACGACTGAAGTGAAAAAGCACATCCTGACGCTTCCTTCAATTGGCGGAGGGAAACCTTAACAAAAAAGTACTTTCGAAAATTCTATTACCTAAAGCACTGGGGTACAAGCTGTTCCATTTTGGTTCGGTCAGAAAAATGAGGAAGGTCAGTGCGAGCTGGTCTGATTTTGCATAAATCATGTATTCATTTTGGCACGGTGCTGGTATTTGGGTGGGTTTCCGAACTGTACGATGATCGCTCGATTCAATGTCCAAACGCGAGAACTACTCCGAAGGGAGTCCTGGACACCACAGCAGGGTACCGGGAATGCAACCGCTTATTCGTTTGCAGAACTTGGACGAACTGTTACTGGCTAAGTGACGCCGTTCGCTTGGAACTCGGTTGATTCGGGAGCCGTTTCGATCCCTTATGTAAACCCACAGGTAGTGGATTATCCGTCCTTGGCAACAATACGCAAGTACCGTCAACAACGGCCTATGAATTGTAACCATCCGATCCCGCGTATTATGGGGTTACTCACAACTCACAGGAGGACTCGTACTTTTTACCTTATGCCTGGACTGGCACGGATTCTAGGGAACCACAACCTCTCTCATACATACAAGTGAGCCTACAAGGCGATCCTCCCAGCACCCATCCTGGTTAGCAGGGCTCATAAAAGACCATCACCTTCAACTGGCTATTTTCCTTGAGATAAAAGAGTAATCTAGGTAAATGAAGTAAGGAATCAGTGAGCCCCTTGAGAGCGGTGCTAAATCTTACACTAGGTTTACCCAGGAATGGAGATTCAGAAAGAAAGGGCTCACTTCGTCATCGATCTTCGTGAGCGTCATAATATCGTCGTCGACTTGCGTAGCAACTTCTTTTGCTGTAAATTCATCAACACCTTTGATTTCTTTTTCTTTGACAGTCTGGATAGTCACTCCTGGAGCCACAGCTACTGTAGCTGTTTGTTTCTTGATATTTACAGTATTTATAGTGGCATTACAGCCCTGAGTCGTGGTCATCTTCTTCCTACTGGTCTCTTCACGTCTCATGCGGGTTGAACGACGAGGGCTTGGACTTGTCTTTGGAGTTTCCCTTTCAGTGACCTGGGTTTGACACTCTCTCACATCTATGACGCTCCTTTTGACTTTCAGCTCCTGTTTACTACTTTCTGAGGGCTTCGTTGCAGGAGACTGAAAAGGAGGATACAAAACAATGGACCTATTATAGACGGAAACCTGGAAACGTTGGCTTGGTGATTTTTCTTGAGAATTTGCTGAAGCAATTGTTTTTATCCGCAATCTTCAAGGTATCCAAATACAAATTTGGTCATATAATAATGCGTATAGGCTATTGCCCCTTTCCAACTTCGTAAGCAGGGCTAGAAGGTGGGTGACGTGCAGTTGTCTTGAAAGGAGAGCNAAGCTCTCCTCCCACCCGTCCGTCGCCCACTCCTGACACTACCTGATTAGCAAAAGGGCGGTGATGGGGGACAACCCACAAAAACCCAACTAGCCACCAATAGATCCTCATCCCATCCGGCTGCGGGGCAGCGGTCTTGCACGGGTTCCTATTCAGAATAACCACCTGCTCTGGATCTGCCTAGCAAAGGTGTAACCGTACATAACTCAACCAAGAACTGGTATGACTCCCTTACTGTAACCATACCGTACACTGTTCAGTTTTGCGAAGCGCAGCTTTCAGAAACAGAAAGAAGGAGGCTGTCAAAAACACCGTATGATACGAATGCGAGAGCAGATTGGCCCAGGAGATGGGCAGTATGCGGAACTCCTATTGGTTCCTCAGGAATCCAGTTATGCTTGAAGCTATAGAAATCAGCTCGAGTCACGCGTAGGGAAGACCAGTCGTCTCTACCACTCCACCTACTCCCTGCTCCATTTCCTTCAGAACTCCTTACTGAGAACACCCGAAGAAAGCACGGGGTAAGTAAGGGAATGATACGATTCTATTTTCCAGAAGATCCAATACAACTCTCTGCCTCCTTTTGATCAAATACTCACCGCTTGAAGCTTCTCGTCTACTACCGGCTTCTGCACTGAGGCTGCATTCTGAAAGCATTGTTTCCCTCTAGGACTAGTTTTTGTACTAGATAATAATAGATGTAAATGAACAATCACTCTCTTCCTCTCTACCTTATTAGTTCTGGAGGATTTCGAGGAGTCGGTCATCACTTTAGGCTGTGGCTGTAAATTATTTCTATATCAAGAAAACTCCTCTACTGAAATTGCATCAGGCTGTTTCCACACTGCAACCACCACTCCACCTTATCCGTGTTTAGAATGAATACTGATTTGACCATGGAACACTCATTAATTCTTTATGTTTGATGACGAGCGGCAGGGGTAAGGTAGGAGTATGAAAACAGCCTTGCAGGAATTTTCGAATTAAGCAATTACCTCTTTTTTGTGTGAGCATAAAAATGACGAATACAGAAAAAATGGTATACAGAGCAAGTTGGATATAAAAATATATGGGTCTGAAGAAAGCGATTATTCATCTTCGACAAAAATCGGAATTTTTTTGTGGCTTCTTGCAGGCCGAACTATGGTGGATCAACTGCTGGTAACGAACAAGCTAGACCAGTTGATTTGGTAGCGCAAGGATACCTTCTCTTTACAGTTTTTCTTAAAAGCCTTGGAAGAAGGACCTCAGTTAAGACAATAAGGCCCCTTTCCTTAGTAAGCTACCTATATCACTAAATTATTTAGTTCTGATAGGCATTCTTTGAACCGTTTCTTCTTCGGGATAACGACATCATCTCACAACCCCAGAGGTCGTTGGCACGAAAGGTGTTCAGAAATAGCGTACCTGGTCGATTAAGGGTTTCATCCTTTAATAACTGCAACATCGAGCTTGTGAGTATCGGAAAGAGACTACTGGAAATGAACCATACAGCACCTTCAAACCTGAAAGAAACAAGTGCAGAATAAGAGATAACACCGAGATTTTTTGATAAGAAGCAGTCAATGGGTAGTGATACCACTGGGTAGAGGGAAAAAGGGCTCACCTTCCATCAAGCGCTCTGGTATACGCCACACATTTTACTTCTCCTTAGCTCACCAAATGCATTAGAGCCCACGGTATAACCAGGTCTGGGGATGCCAAACCACTTCATTTTCCTAAAAAATCTTGATCCCAATTAACCGACCCCGAAGGGATGGAAGGCTTGCTTGGCCTGGGCGGGATTTGTATCGCAGGCACTATCCCCGCCCATTTTTGAACACTGCCACCTACACACATACAAAATTATGCAAAATTTTACAGAAAAAAACTGTAAATGTGGCAACATTTGTACGAACTTGCACCAAATTTGAATATTCTAATAACAAATAACACCAAATAACAAAAAAAACTACTTCCGTAAACCAGTAACATAACAATGAAATGTACAGTACACTTTTCAGCCAACAAATAACTACATACAACAACTACACGTGCAAAACAAAACTAAACAACTGCTGAATTAATAAAATTGCAAATGGATTTCCCCGGCTCCTCGAGCAAAGCGAGCATCTACGGTTATAGTGGATTTCTTGAGAAGTGAAGGTGAAAGTAGGTAAACACCTTGCCTCACACCTTCTCTCCATTCCGGCACATCTCCTAAGGTTGTAAACGGTTTTAATGGTTAACATATAAGAATCACGGGAAAATTCACTTCAGAGAAAACAATTACCTATTCCTACGTCGTGCTTCAGTCCGCTCGTTATCGTATGCTTACCAAAATGCCATTCCATCCACAAGGGAATGCCGTTAGTGCCATTCCTAAAAATTCTTCGAAAAATAAGCTACTGTAGAAACTGAGGCCATAATCTTAATCAATTCAGTCTGTACTCAAGATTGCAGAGCAAAGATAAGGCTCCTTGCCCAGTCTCTGTCTACTGAATCAAGTCTCGTCAAAGTTTGCGATTGAGTATCCCATGGGAGGGAATCAGAGCAGAAGCACGTTTACACCACACTGCAATTATTCTACTGCCCTTTCTTCTTCTCTTCCCCAGCGTTAATGGCTGCTTTTTAGTCCACGATTCGGCCCATGAGCGAGTGAGCGAGCGACCGCGGGTTTACTCTTCCGGCGGTATCGACCAAGATTCAGTCGCAAGGGGCAAGCGCCGCCGCCGGTCGCTCGCTCGCGGGCCGAATCGTGAACCATGAAAGCAGCCAATAATCGCGCTCTGTCGCAAGGTCTGCTCTTCTTGTATTTTTTCCCATTTCCTTTTATCTAAGGCATCCTCTGCCATTTTTCTCAATTTCGGCAACGATAGTAATGCCCCTCCACGCATCCGAGATCCCTCCTTCAGCGGGCGCAGTATTCAGGAATTCATTGAGCCAACAGATCTCATGCTGTGCCTTCCAGTCTCGATCGGTAATCCATCCGTGCCTTGATTGCCTTCGCAACCTTACCTCCTCCACCTTCTTTTGGAGTAAGGTCAGGTCAGAAAAAATGGCGGTAATTGCAAAAATCCTCCCTTCTGAGTAAACAGCAGATGAGTCTATTGATTCTTGTGGCAAAAAAAACTGACATTGCTAAGAAGAATGATAGTCACCTTGAAGGGATTTGGAAATTGGCTTCAATATCATGAGGTTCTTGACGGAGATCGAATTTTAACACTTCAAACTTCTCGCCTGACACTACACCACTATACTCCCAAAGGGGATGAATGTCCACTAAAGCGTCTGTAGCTTGACGTGCTTTCTAAAAATCACATCAATTAATATACTTAAATATTTCAATCAATGTTTATTCTATTTGTAGGGCACCTGAGAAATATCATCAAACAGTGACAGATCGAAACCGTTCACTATTCCAACAGGAGCGCTGGTGTTTTGAAGATGGTCAAACTTCTCGCATACTCCATACAAGACTGCACTCTAAAAAACAAAACAAGGTGGTCTGAAGAGCTATGACAGTAAGAAGACTAACGAAATTAAAAAAAAAAACAGAACATGAAGAAATAAAAATAATCTCCGAGAAGGTCAGGGCACAAGGGTACATTCTGAAACACAATTTTCTATTTCTACTTTCCAAGGACTTGTCCGTCGTGGAAACTATTCTTCTGTAAGTCGAACCAGACTTATAGATGAAGAAAAATGAGCCAATGCAGCTCCTCTCCCTCATAGATTTGCTGACCTAATGGGGTTGGGGACATTAAAAACTTTACGTCCCTCGACGTTCAAGCTTATAAGAGCTTGTATAAATCTAATGTAATGTATGAATAAAGGATGAAAGAAAGAAGCCTTTGGAATTAGACAGTCCCAGTTTTCGGACGCGCCGCGCATTCGATTTCAATTCATAATCGGAGGCATACTGAGTGCATATGTGACCTGTGAAATGACTTGTGGTGGCCAGCAGGTGTACATTGCAGTGCTGTTATCCACCCAGACGAGTCTGAAGCCAATTAGCCGCTCCCGAAGGGATGGAAGGCTCGGTCGGCATGGGCGAATAGCCTCTGGGAATGGTGCTCGTACCATGCGGGCATGATAGTGGGCGACCTAGCACAACACTTCATCCGCCTAAATCTCAAGTGGATGTATAAATTTCATCGACAGATCCGTTTGAAGGGTAAAACCAGTTCAATATCAAGTCACTGCACGTTCTGGAATCCTTCGCGAGAATGGAAAAGGTCGAAATGTTCCAAGTAGGAGGGAGATATACTTAAAACATTGTCCTTTCACTCATCACGTTATTAAGTTCAAATCTCTTTGAAGCTGAACTTTCTGCCCATAACTCAGAGCCCTTTTGCTTATTTAATCAGAAGCCTTTATGTCACCAGGACACAAAAAAGCTCATTCTATTCTGCTACGCGCTTCCTCTCCACTCATTTACCACTCAAAAATGCAAACCATAAGCAAACGTGTTACCTGTGGCTGTACAGTGATATTCGATCCAAAACGCTCTCGCAAAGCCGTGACATCATACCAAAACCTCAAATTCTGCCAAGGGGTCATCGCCGAAAGATAGAACGGCTCTCCAACCACGACGTCATGCTGAAACACAGAATTATAATGGTACAAGCGTTCATATAAGAGACCAATGAGCATAGAAAAACTTTGTTATGAAATTCTCCTACACTTTCTACCCCTTCTCGCTTGAGTTCACTTAAGGAAGAGGAAGGTAGCTGTCATAGAAAACTTCTCAAGGATGTCCATAACTGAGGAGGTGATACGAGCAGATACAGTGGAAACCTTATAAAAGTCTCACGTCAAAAAGGAAGCCTTAAAGATGAGTGGTTTCATGGTTTCACCAAGGAGGAACGGGACAGTTCCGACTGACTTTGATTCGCTCGACTACACAAGGCACTTGACGGGAAGTCAGAGAGCAGCAGAAATCACAGTGATTACTCGTTCACGTAGTGCTGCCGGACCACCCTTCTCTATTTTCCAGGTCAGCTACCCACTTCGTTTTTTCATCAGGTCATCATCATGGATTTCTACGAACTTCACTTGTAACCTCATAGGGTTAGTCGAAGAGTAAGTCTTCATTTTGTCATCCCTCTACATAGCAGCCAACTCCACACAATTCAGCTGGCCTATAAGAGCTCGGTCACCTGCTCGAAATGATGACATTTAAAACCAAAAAAAGAGCAGTACAGAACAGAATTCACAACGATTCTCTTCTGTACTGCTATATATGGCTATGCAATTTCCTTGTAAAGGTGAATTGAAAAGTATTATTCTCACCTCAGCTGACACCTCCGACACATCCTCAACAACAGTAACGTTTTCGAGTTTATAGAAGGATATATACCTAAAACTTGTGATTCGACAGAAATGAGAATAGTTCAAACAATAAGACTGAATGGTACAGTCAGACCGAAAATCAAGGAAATTTCAAAAAATTGACCAACTTGCTAACGATGTCCCGGAAATGTGGATTGGAATCCACCACAGTGACAGAGGAAGCTATGGGTGCCACGAGAAGGAGTAATATCGAACCTTCACCCAATACCACCACTTTGTGACCTTCACATATCTGCAATTTGTTGTGTATAGGTAACAATCTCAAAAAATAGCTTTCTGCATCAGGATAGTACCGTAGCAAAAACAAAAACCAAACAAAAGGATGATCAAAAGCAGTCAAGACGGGTATAATTTGCAACAAACATTATGTATGCAATAAAGATGCGGAACTTCGACTCAAACGGGGAAAATGAGCCTACATTTGAATAGACCACTGTCAACTTTTAATAACCGATCAAGCGACAGTCGCTGACTGTTGACTATTTACAGTCGGACCTCGTTTGCAGGGGGTTTACTATCAGAATCGCTACTACTACTAGAAAAGTTTATAGTAAGGAAAATAAAACCTTTGGCTTAGAAATTACTCACGGACTTGAGTTCATCACGGAATTGAACATTTTCTAGAAGTTCATTTGCAGAAAATATTGACTGTCTTGCCATGATAGTATGCAGCTGACAATTACAGTAAATCCTCTCAACAAATCTAAGAGAAAGGTAGTTAAGGCAGTATGATAAATCGAAGTTTTTAAACTGATGCAATGAAAACCCACTCTTTACCAACAGAAAACCACATGCTATACTCATCGTGACTACATTTTAGGGTTAACCCTTCGCCTTTTTTCACCTCAATACGTTGGGGCAGATAGTAAACCGCTTGCATCCAATGATCACGCCACTGAAAAACTAAAATCTCCTATCAGTTCTGATCACATCAAAGTTGTAGAAGATGATGGACCCCATTCTATAGAGACAAAACGAAAAAGAGCTCACATGATAATCTTTGCTGGCCCATTTAGGAGACATATCAATCCAGTACGTACCGGTTCCATCCATATCAAGATCCCACCTAGTCAAATGTTTTTTTCCTTTGAAAAGTAAATATTACTGTTGGCTTACCACATCAGAACAGCATCTACATGACCTGACTCGATGCAGGATGCAGTTCGATCGAATGACTCGTCGTACACGATTGAATCAGAACATTCGAAATCGAACCTGAGAAAAAAAGTATTAAATGTTCTCGTCCTATTCCATGAAAATGCGTAAGTGCAGAGGGAAAACTGGGAAAATGACATTTTACGTCAATCGGCGAAGGATTGCCACATTTCTTGGTCAATCGAGCTTCACTGCTCTGGTCAAGGATTAATCCATGTTCTCTTATTGGACTCTGAGGAATATATGAACATCAGCCCATGTAGGTTTTCGCGGTCTCAAATGAAGGAGGGCTACGATACTTTCGACTTCATCTCAATACTCGTAGAAAAATGGATCACAGTTTGAACTTACTCGAAGGCCAGGAAAGCTTCTGTCAGGCAAGTGAACTGATGTNGTTTAAGCTGAGACAATTGTACGTCGAAGACGGCCGCTGTCCCAGGACACTTTCCAAGAGGACAATCATCTTAAATTCTGCTCAACGTCCACCCTTCAGAGTACACTGATTCAAACACAATCTGATAAAAACATAAGATCCAAAATTTTCAGAGACCCCACCTTCAGCGAGTCGAGGGATTCGGTTGAATTTGGACAGAAAAGCACTCTCAACTGGTAGAACCCAAACTCGGCCTCGAGATGGTACAACACGACAACCCGGCTAGAAATGTCTACATACCTTTTTGAATAGTTTCACGGAAAAGGGCAGAACATTCTAAAGAAAGAAGAATATCCTTGCGTAATACCTGAACATGACTGAGAAGAGCCTCTTTGAAAGTCCTCAGTGCTCCTTCACCGATTAGTTCCGTGTCGAAGACCTGACTCAATGAATTAAAAATCTGTCAAGGCGGTAGTGTAAGCAGACAAACCTCAGCAACAATTATATTGGGCTTGGTTGACAAAGGAGACAGTTCAGTCGAACGGCATGGTATGACCTGAATCGACTTCGATTGGATGATTACAATTTGATCATTGAAATTTGATCCTGTCGTCAACACGAATCTCTTTTTCAAACTGAAGGCTGGAAATCGTTTAGGAGATGTAATTACTACTAATTTTCACAATGTGACACCTCTTTTAGCTCTGAAAAAGGAGCCCATGTGGCTGAAATGGCAACTGATAGATCAATAGATTCCTGATTGTTGCAGATCATTGGGAAACTGAACCCACCTCAATTCTATCGTGCCACTCGCTCGTTTGAACGATAGAACGTGCGCAATCTGCCATCGGTTGGAACACTTCAACTGCAGTCACTTTATCAGCCCCTTCACGAGCAGCCATCAAGGACAGTAATCCGGTGCCAGTTCCTAGACGAACTCGGATGAGAGCTTTGAGCAGGAACTTTGATATTTTACAATCCCAGAAGGTGATACCCCGTATTCCCACAAACTTCTGAAAGGTGAATAATTCTACGTTCATCTCAGTGGAAGGGGAGGAACCCCATAACAAAATAGGTGGTATGGGAGGATTAAGGAGGCGTACTCGATGATGGGTAACAGCGGATTTGATTCCAAAAAACATGTTAATAAGAAATTCAGACAATTAATGAACTCTTAGTTCATCACTTCCATAGATCAATAGAAATATAGAGCTCCCGCTTGATTAATGAGCAGGAGCTTGCATACATATCTTTGGCTGCAGAAAAGGAACCCACAAACCTATGTCCATAACATGAACTTTGACTCCTTGCTCTTTCTTTTCTTGTATTACAGCACGGAGACCCGCCAGAAACATATCGTTTCTGTTGTAATCCAAAATCATATCGGCAAATCTGCTTCTATAAAATCTATAGATTAGAGTGAGTGATTTGAACGGCTAGGAAATCCATTTCTTATGATTTTCCAGATAGCCCCTGTGAAGAACCAGACCTTTGTTGACGATTCTGCTCCGAAAAGTAGGCGCTGAGAGCACAAGGACGATCATTTGGGACAATGTTATGAATTGCTACGTAGGAGACACAGTTAGCATAGGGAGACAAAGCAGAGCAAGTTCAGCCCTCAAGGTGGTGCCGATGAGAAGAAGAGAAGAGAGACTAGTCCAAGCATCATCTCATTAAAAGAGATGAGTCCTCTGAGATGGCCAAGAGCACGAAAGACAGCAGATTACGATCATTATGATCGACGCTAGCTATGTAGGAAGCAAGAGAAACGTATGCTTACGTTTTAAGTCGGGAAACCAATGGAAAAAAAGGAAGATGAAAATGATTAGCACAAGTAAATCACATCCAGTAAAACTTGAAGCGTACTAGTTTCACGAAGTGGACGGAACAGCAAATAACACGATGAACTCAGAGGGAAGAGCTTATACGCAGAAACTATTCAAGGCATAGTCGCTATACTCCGACGAATATCACTTGCAAGTTGGGCTTTCATGAAAAACCGGAGTGAATCCGTTTTTTGGGGGAAACTAGACAATAAACCTAAGTTCCAGAAAAATGCATTCAAATAAACAATGAGACCTTACTAGTACTGATCGCTTGCGTAGGCTTACCTCTAACCTTCATTCATGATTTTTCAATACGGTGATTCAATCAAAGGACCGTATTGAAGAATCATAAATGTTTTCTTGTTTCTGATACTATCGCTTAGAGATAGCTTATACAGGTTCATGGGTAACCTCTGCAGGAATGTCACCGAATTGAAGTCTGTTCTGCACTGTTGTCTATGACATAGCTATCAAGTTGAGAATACCATTGAACTGAACGATCTGGGTGACCTTCTCCAGCGAGGTAAACCTAGCCTTTAACCACCTCTACCTGTGCTTGGATACGAGGTACATAAGTTATAATCTTGATAAGTCCATTCCGATCCAAGAAAATGAGCAACAAAAGACAAATTATGGATTCGAACCTTGCGATTTCTTGTGCAAGATCATGGTCTTCCTCAGCGACCTCCCATTCTCGCTCACCCGTCACATGATTAATTTTTTCCAGAAACATCACCTAATAATATCCTGAACTTTGACAACTTTTCAAGCCAGGATCATACATACTGCAGTACTGTATCATCAACCAGGAAACAAACCAGTACATGAATTGAGTCTGAAATTTTACTGAACTCAATCAGTAGATAATAACAAATGCTGACATAGTAAATCGAATTACGTATCATACCAAACATTGAAGAGACAATCTGAAACAGGTAAACAAAAAGTCAACTTTGTAACTTGGGTGCAAACATGTAAAGGATCAATCTGACTAGCGGCAAGGATATGAGTATGTGGAAGATGGCACCCTATCGGATATGCAAAAGTGTCGAAAACGAATCTTATTAGACAATTCAGAAACTAATCAGACTGAGACCAAAAAAAGGCTGCTCAATTTCTCGAAAATGACTAGCAGTGAGCATCAATAATGAATAAATCTGAACAACAACAACCGAACAAAACAAGGGATTTACGTCAGGGATATCCTATTGATACTAATGAGTAGTTAATTCTTTTGAAACCAAAAGATTCACGCCTAGCGAGTATCAACCACAGGGAAACCAACTCTTGGTATACACATATTCATTGGTCAATCTCATTAATGGTAGCTTGAATGTCTTCAAGGGAAATAGTGTCCCTCGCATCAGTTGGCAAGTTCCATTCTTTGATAGATTTACAACACAACTTGTGGATTGGCCAGTCGAACTTCTGGCATTCGACAGAGCAATAGCACAACTAGAAAGGAAGGATCGTTAAGTGTCAAGAAGGACTTATGATCAATAAAAAATCCAGCCGAACCTTGCATTTGGGACAGCGCTTCTTGGCACTGAATGCTCCACAAGTCCCGCAAAATTTACTGACCATCAGCAATCGTTGGCCGAACAAACCTTGCACAATGTATTCGAAAGCAGTGGGCCGTTCTCCAAATGGCGTTTTGGACATAGCCTAGAAATTATACGTTCACGTTGAAAACTGTGATGCGCCCTCAAGAAATTAGGGTGAGCACAAATTATCAAGAAATATTCGTGACACAGCTAGAACTAATATAAAAACGGGTTATCAACCGTATTAACATTCGCTGTAGGAACGAAAACACTGAAAATATTAAATTTTCAATGGAAAATCGAGCTTAAATATAATAGAAGGTCGTCCTTCTCTGAGACTACTGAACTACCCTGTGCCCGAATATTTACTAGTGCTACAAGTTTTATAGGAAAGATGTTTATCAAAGTTTCATCAGAACTATTGGCTCACCTTGACCATTGTTTCATAAAGAAGAGAATGATGGTAAGGAAATGCAGCCATTGCGTTCCGGAGCAGTGTTTCCTGATTCTTTCTGCAACTCAAGAACTTTTCATACCAGTTCTTTCCAAGCCACTGCTATTCCTATTCGATTCGAGGCCCAAACACGAAAAACGACTGTCGGGGCATAAATACTACTGAATAAATGATACGCGATCCCACTAAATATGATGACAAAACTGGAGGGCCGTCACAAGATCTCATGAATAAAACAATCTTCCGCCGTTTCCAAACGAAAAACAAGCATATCATGAGCAAATGGTTCCCTTATTCGATATTTACATCTTGGAGGTGATTTCGTGCTCCTCGAATTAACATAAGTATGTTGATCTTATGGCGTACGAGCAGCAAACGAAGTCAAAGTCAAAGTCAAACACCCAGAGAACTGAATGTCGCTAAAAATGATCAAAATTTCTCACCTTACTTGCTCTCCTGGTTCCCATTTCAGGAGGAATCTAGCATACACAAGACAAGCATCATGAACACTCTTGCCTGACGATATCAGATCGGCGATATACTTGTAAATTTCTCGCAGTACGAAGAGTATAATCCATACTTTCAAAGACATCACCTAGAAATCATTCATGGAATCAAAACCGAACACATAGCAGTCGTGATGATTTCGAGAGCAACTATACCTCATTTCCTTCTTTGCATCGCAGTTGCTTTTCGAATACACGATCTACTACATACAAAATCTACAACAAACCATTTTTGGATGAAAAAGAATAAGAAACGATGCAATAAATCTTTTATAGCAGTACTTAACAAATCATTCACCTGAATTGCACTTGATACATAAAAAGGTTACTAACTCTGTGATTACTGCTCGACTTACCTTCTTCTGATATTTTATAGCGTCCTCATACTGACTTAGCTCCATTGTAATAGCAACGGGATGGACCTGGATATTCGTTGGTTGGACTAGTTTACAAAAAATAGAGAAGAAAGCTCTACATATTCCCAGAAAATTCCTATAATTTCCAAAATTTGTGTTTTCATTTGCAAGTTTTAGGTTGCAACAGAATCAACACTCAAAACATAACACAGGCATCGAAAAATGATACCGAGAGCCCGACTTATTTTAACGTATTTGGTATAAGATGCTACTAATGCTTCTGTGGGGGAACGTTTAATGCTAATAGAAGAGCTCGATCCCACATAGCTTCATTGGGATTCAAATCTGACTGAATGAAATTAATGTGGGCCATTCGGCATAGCCGAAGCTAACATTAAGAGTGTTAGGATGTGTGTAGCGCATTCTATCCCAATGGAAACTGCTACACAGACAACCAAACTGATGCCCCGATAATAAGCGAACGTTCTTTTGAAAAAGCCTTTCTTTAAGAAAGCCCACTTTGAAGGCAGTGATAAAACAAACGGGACGAGATGAGAGAGTTAATGAAAAAGCGGGGCTGCTCCGTGGCAGTCTATATGATGATGAAGACTACTATTCCATAAAATAGGCCTTGCTCTAGAAAAAAAAA